TTGAAAGCCACACACCACAACCACCTCTAAAAATTTAGAAGCATTACTCTCATCATTATATCGATGATAAATATTTATGAAAGATGAAGAAGACTGAAATAGATAATAAAGAAATATATTTGAAGGCTTGGACTCCACAGAATGAGGCCGATGAGAGACCAATTTGTTATGATGATGACTCCAATAAAAACCCCTTCATTGATGACCCTGCAGATGATTTATGAGTTGAGTTGTTGACAACTATTTTAGCTTTCTTTAAGAATTAATTGTGGATGAGTAATGAAGTGAGAAAGAACGGAGAAAGAAGGATTTTGAAGTCAAACTTATTGTAATATGATACTTTTATGCAATTCTAATATTTTATATTATTTTGTTCTTGGATTAAAATTCTATTTCACGCAATTTATCACTTGCCACTTTACATCATGTGCAAATTTTTTTTATATGCATATCAATTTGCTACTTCATAGTTCAATAAAAAATATTAATATGTCATTCTTTAACATATTATTTTGGTATTATATAAAATTTTACTTTTAAACTTTATTTTCACTTCACGCAATTACTGAATTTTGAAGCTTACGCCTTAAAACGCCTTGAGGCTTACGCTTCACCTCACAAACGAAAAATGCATCAATACCCAATTACGCAATTTTAAACTATGAGGAAAGCTATAGGATTAAACAATGATTTAAAAATTAGACCAGCCTGGTCGATTCAATCAGTTGAATCAAATATCGATCTATCGGCTCATCTAATAAATTCACAAAATCGATTTTGCAATGAACTAGCCTGAACAATGTCGAACCGAAGGTTCAACTAGTGGCGGTTTTTGAAAATAGGCCGGCTAATTTTATTAAACCATTCATATAATTAAATAAATTAATTTAATAAATTTAATATAAAGTATTTAAATTAATTAATTAATTAATTTAAATTTTAATGATAATTATTTACACCAACCAAACTTTATCACATGGCCCTACCATCCTATGTGACTTCTTTATTAATGTGAACCAAAAAATTTAATACTAACACATAAGGCCCAACTGATGTAGAGGTCTAAATAACCGCGATAAAATTTTCAAATTTAAAATACATACACTAAATATTTTAACACATATTTTTAATTATTTTTTTTATTCTATGAATTATATTTAATTTTAATCTTTTTAATTAATTATTTATTTAATTATATAATATAAATTTTTAATTTTTATCAATTTTGCAATTATAAATGATCTAACATGATTTTATAGCTGCAATTTTATAATATAAATTTTGTACATAATTTATAGGGGTAAATTATATATAAATATATAACATAAATTAGCAATTATTTATATTAAATCTATAACTTATATGTGAACTAATTTTATGTTAAATGTGAATTAAATTTAAAGATTGAACATATTTAAATTTAAAATTATAGAATATATTATTTATGTATGGATTTTATTAATTTTTAGTCGGGAATTTACACTATTACATAATTATTATATCATTTAGATGTAATTTAAATAATTTAAATATTTATTGCGTCACTCAATTAAAACCCAGTCGAGCCATTGAGCGTTGAACTTCCCCTTCTTTCAGTTCTATGTTCTGTTCGATTTCACAATCTTGGGATTAAAAAAATAGCAGGTTATTGAGGCATATTATCTTTTCTTTACTCATATTTTTGAGTGATTTGAGTCTGATTAAGTTTCAAACTAATGATAGAGATTACTTACATAAGATATTAATTGAGATGTTATTCGAACCCATTATTCCTCATATTAATATTAAATGATCAATTAAGTATTATTAGAGTGGTGCTTTTAATCAAATTAATTTCTAAGCATAATTAATTAAGCTATCTTCAAAGGTTTGAATTCTCTCCAAGCTCACTAACCCTAAACCTATTCATCAAAACAAACCACCAATTATTCTACAATCCTAATTAAGTTGATTAAATCATAATCAGGATAATTAAATAATATTAATTAACAACTTTGATAATTAGGGGATTAATTAACCTCTACTTTAATTTATTTGCATTTTAGATAAATATTAAGACTGCTATTTCCAGTTATTAAATTTCAAATTATACCTTATTAGCACTAATGTCAAGTACTTAGCTCAGCTTGATAGCCTTCTAGTATACTGAGATTTTGTCAAGTGAAACTTCTATTTGAATCATCAGGAGTAGATTATTACAGATTCTCCAAAAGATGCTGTAGATAAAATTGAATTAAATAGAGATAAAACTGAACGGAATAGTATGCGTGCAGTCAACAAATGAAAAAAATCTTTAGCAAGTATTGTTGAAACCATTTGTCACCAATTCGGTAGGATGAACTCAATACTACGAGTTGTACAAGACCAAATATCTAGATGGTCTTTGCTAGCCCCTATGTGATAATCAACCGATTCTGAGAGATCAAAGAAAGTGAAGTCATTCGGCTCAAATAAGATGTTTAAAATTAGTGAGCAGCGGATCCTCTTCGAACATTGCATGACTTCAACTCTTTAACTTGCAATCTTGAGTCTTGACGGACCTCTTCATATAACATATGGATTCTCTTTGCTTACATGTTCTTAGGGGGACAACTTTGCATGATGTGTGAATCCTATTCGCTCGATGGCCATCAAGGGGACAACTTCGTCCTCTCTTCGACTTTTAATCAGCTTGCAGCCTTATGGCATCATCTCCTCTTCACATGGAGCATCGACTCCTTTTGCTCAGAACAATTGACGGCTTCACAAAAGGATGCAACTCCTTCTGTCATGTTCGATAGGGAGGACCATCATAGGAAAAGCTAGTAGGAACCAAGAGTTTCCTTGGATGAATTTGAATTTCAACACAATGCAAAAATAGGATTGAGAAGAATTTAAACTTTTTAATTGATAATAATGGAAAAAAAAAACAACAAGATACAATGGATCCTCAATTGGAGAGGAGGATTCTGCTCTCCCAATCTCTAGCCACCAGCTAGAGCCCAAAAATCCCTAAGAACAAACTAAATCCAGCAAAACTCTTACCCCCCACCCCCCCCAAAAAAAAAAAATCTAGGAAAACATCTTACTTAAAGCATACAATAATAAAGAAAATATCTAAACAACCCATCCTTTGAATTTTCCCTATTAAACCACCCTAAAAGATGGTTGTTGGAACCACGGTTTTGAGGCAAAAATTGTCTGCCTTCTATAGCAGGCGGAACATGTCCGCCTTGAGGCCGGTCCCTCCTGAATCGGCTAAACTGGTTTAACAGACAAGCAACTTCACAAGTAAATTCATATAATGGAGCAGTATTTGCATCTAAATCTTTGCACTTATGCTCTCTTTACTCTGCCTTTCCTTACTATTTGACTCATTTATTTGTCTGTTTCTCATTTGATTAACACTTAAACCTATTTTTTTCTTATTTAACTTACAAAATTATGCTCTTGTGTTAAATCACAATATTTCACAATTTAATTAATTAGCAACAACAAAAAAGAAATTTATCAAATTTAGGTCAAATTTTAGGAGAAGATCCACAGTGAAAAATATTCTTCATAAAAGAAAATGATACAAAATGTGCAACATCTATATTATTTGGCAAAATTATAAAAAGGACTTGCTCATCATAAGCAACATTTATTTGGGGTTACAAAAATGCTGAAGTTTGTGGTGTTGCCCTCAACATGTGAAAGATAAAATTCAAGTACATAAACAAGGAGTTGAAAGATCAAATCAATAAAATACCACATGATGATATGGACGAAGGAGATAATTTTGATGTGATGGTGGTACGCCTTGGAGACAAAAACAACAAACACACAATAAAAAAACTGCATAAATACGAATATAGGTGGCTGATTTTTTAGTATAACTTTAATAAGAAAGCAAGATACAAGTGATCTATAGTTCGAGAGATAGATTAGCTCTCCCAAGCCACCTAGACACCGCTACGAAGCACTCTCGAAAAGTAACTACAGCAACTCTCCAATCAACTTATGCATAAAAACAAAGTAAACCCTAAACTTAGCTTTAAATAAGCTTCTCCTACTTCCCTCCTAAATCAGCCCCCCTTTCCTAATATATTTCCCTCTCCAATTTGAATTTCAATAAGGAAATCCTTCCTAATTAATCCCTTGCTAAATCAACCCCCCTTTCCTAATATATTTCCCTCTCCAATTTGAATTTTAATTAGGAAATCCTTCCTAATTAATCCTTTTCTTAATTCCTCTTCTCTCATAATGAATTAATGTTTTATTGTGTCACACAAAAGGAGCCGAATTGTCCAGGTTTAGCCCCCCTAGTATGTCCCTCCTTGGACTAGGGTCTGTTGGATCGGCCGGTCTAGCTCTTCCCTAGTCTACCCCCCTAGGGTTGTCGTCGTCGATGTATTAGATGGATGATAGCATTTTTTATTTTAGGACATCAAAGCAGTACCACATATCAAAATTAATTATTTCATTTCAGGTCAAAATCCAATGATGGATTCAATTGATAAATTATTAATAAATTATCCATAATTTTTTAATATTTTAAGCTATGTTTCATTACGGCACATGCTATGTCCCCAAGAGACCTTTAACGCTATGGTGGGCTATTCATCATTAGTAAGTATGGGCTAGGTGGAGAGTGATTTCACTATTCTCAATAGCAAATTACATAGTTTGGTTGCCCAGAACTAAGCAGAGAAGGAAAAGAATACTGTTAAAAGCCGCTAGGAGATTATTTCCAGAAAGATCGAACTACTAGTGATTTCTGGAATTTTGAAAATACCTAATACAAGTAAAGGAAACATGAAAGACAAATAGCCAACTAAAGACATTTTCATTTCAAACCATAATATACAGTTAAAAGGAAAAAAAATGTAATGATTAACTTGCAGCAAAAGCTTTTACAACATCACTGCAGAACAGTAAGACAACTTTGATGTGGCATGTAAATGCATACTATCCCACGCTATTAAAACAAAATGACATGTTCAGATAAGAAGAAAGAAAAGAACATAATAATCTCATACCTTTAGATTGATCCATGCATATGGCAAGCCAGTAGGGGTATCAAAGGCTCGCAGAAACCGTCTGCCTAAATCTTCAGCAAGGTCAAGCAGCTGATTCTGATATATTCCCCTTTCTAGCCTGTTCTTAGAATCTGTTGCTAGTATATGAGCAGATAAAAGCCCACCAAGAACTCGTATGTTACACTGAACAAATAAAAAGGTAAAGAAACGAAATTATAAACAGATGCACTAAGCTCGGGGATTAAAACCTATCCAGATATAATCTAGGTTTATAAAAAGTGCTTATGAAATTGAAAAGATTAAAAAATACCTCAAACAAGTTTACGCGAGCATCCACATCAAAGGAGAGATTCTCAGCGAGCCAAAGAACTCCTTTTTCAAATTCTGTATTGTTACCTAAGACAACAAGACTGCAATAAGCCAAACAAAGATTCTATCAAAATTAATCTACATTTTAGGTCAGAGCAATGATTAATTACTTATCATGGAATATATAAGTAAAAATTTTTTAAGAGAGAAAGAATCCACCACATAGAATATGAGAGTCTGCCAAATAACATAGTTTAAAAAGACTTCTACGACGTTCATACAAGTTAGGACAAACCTTTTGTCCACTAAGTTTTTGTAAAACCCGAAAACTTTCGATCGGATGCTTCGCATGTATTTCGATGCGCCGCAACGAAATTAGACGAAATTTCAAAGTCGTCAGAATTCCACGCAATAAATTTTATAAAATTCTACGTGAAATTTCAATCGAAATGATATAAAGAACCTTTATCAAATGTTGCACGAAATTAAAATTAAAATTTGTCGAAGATGTTTAAGTAAACTTTAGCCCTTTATACCCATTTTACCCCTCATGAGTCTTAAGGAAATTTTAGGCTTGAGGGGCACATGCATAATTGGCCTTATAAATAATTCCCCTCATACGCCTAGGGACCGATTCATTCGGTCCCTTGTGTTGTTTCGGTTGAATCGAAGAAGAGAGCGCGAGAGAGAGGAGGAAGGGCAGCGGAGCTTTTGGAGGGAAGTGGAAAAGAAAGCCTAGGAAAGAAGAAAGGTAAGCTTCAAATGCAAGAAATGTTTCTTTTTCTTTGGATTTCTTTGAGAAAGAATTTTAGGATTTGCTCAAAACTCAAAAGCTTAGAACAAAAATTATAGGGAAGGATTAGGTAAGGCTTTTCATCATGAAAACTTGAAATTTTCTTAAAGGATTTTCAATTTTCAAAATTAGGATTCCTCTAATTTTAATTTTTTTTTTTTTTGGGACATTTAGGCCATTTAAGGCAAACTCACACACACAACGCATACACAGAGACTCGAACCTTAGACCTCTTAGTTGGAAGCCTTAGCTCTCAACCAATAGGCCAAGGAGAGTTGTGTATTTTAATTCTTTTTTAAAGGGATGTCAGAAGAACCTTAGGGAAGAACTTCTATCCATGAAAATGCAAGTTTTCGGCCAGAAATTTTAGGTTCAAATATTAGGGTTTTTCACTAATTGGAAAAATTTTGAAGAGTGCTTAACTAAAGTGATTCCAAATAATCTTAGGAGGGCTCTAATGGTGAAAATTGCGAAATTTTCACAATTTCTTATTTTTCCCTAATTATTATATTTAATAATCCGAAAATTAAATACCCTAAATTTATAATTAGGTAAGAGGGATATTTTAACATACAATTTTAATGAAATTAGTGAAGAATTATGTTTCCAAATTTTGGAATTTAGGTAAATCCAAAAATAACATTTAAATTACATTTAATTAAGGAAAATATTTGATAAAAATGTATTAGATTGTGGTTAGGTTAATGAACATTAATGACCTTAATGAGAGAATTTTATGTTAAAATTAATATGTACTTAATTATGAAATGTGTTAGGGATAGTGAGGTATAATTGTTATGGAATTATATAAAAAGGCTTATGTGTGTTGTAACCTTTTTTCCTTAGGTCTTGAAAAGATGAAGTGTTAAGGAGAGACCGGTGAGACGACGGTGTCAAGAAGTGACAATTGAGGTAGGAACACTTTACTCTATAAATTTATATTCCTTTCTATTATGTTTTGAAATGTCTAACACTTAGAAATGCATGTTAGATGTGTGTGTGTGTGTGTGTTTTTTTTTTTTTTTTTTTTTTTTTTTTTTTTTTTTTTTTTTTTTTTTTTTTTTTTGATAATAATGCATATTAGATGATCTCTTTAAGTGATAGCAATGCATAAAAGATCTCTTTCTTTGATAGCAATGCACATTAGATGTTCTTTGAATTGCAACCTTTCATATACACTTGCTTAATAATCAATGCATAGGATTGATAGACTACATTTCTATGAAAAGAATGTTTAAATAAATGTGTATGTTAAAGACGGAGTGCCAAATATGATGTAATAGCACAATATGCCTCTTATGAGCAATATGACTCTTCGGGGAAAAAGAGGAAAGAAAGATAATAGGACAAAAAATATGTTTGTGTACCTGATCAGTACACTTCTAGTACTCCGATACGGTTCTATATGTTAAAGAATAAGTAAGCATATTAGAACATTTATGACACAAAGGACATATGAAATAGTTGGAAGGATATGCATATGAACTATAGCATGTGACATTTAGCAAAAACATGACATTTCATAATCATATATATGAGTTAAATCACATTGAGCATACATATTGAATTTTATTTATTGGTATATGAATTTGTTATAGTTATTACATATTGAGCTATAGCTCATTCCCTCGTTTTGGATATTTTTCAGGAGATCCAGTTGCTAGGAATGGCTGACCGGTCTTTGTACACTTATATTCATAGAGGACTGGATGACAAGTTCCTCTTGTATTTCTTTTAGTTGTAGTTTAAAATTTTTGGGTGGTTTGACATGAATGAAAGAAATATTTTAGCCACCTCTGTACATATGCAACTCTATATGAAATGATATTAAATGCTTAGTTTAAATTGGAAAGTTGTTTAGAGGCACTTTTATTTTCCTTTTGAAGTGTTTTAGATTCTTCAATGCATGTTTTATAATAATTTCATGTTCTGTTATATTATTTACGTCTGACATCTGTTCCTGCCTCGTCTACACGAGCTCACCGGGCCGAGTCGTGATAGTTTTAAACAATCGAATCCTCCCGTTTATCAAACCATTTGCACAAAACACTGACAATATTTTGATAATAAATGCTGCCACAAATTGATGAAGGATGTCTTAAGGTAGAAGGTTTCAAATATAGATAAAACAAGTGATACCATGCAACATATATACAAAAGTTGGGGAACACTAACTATTAATCCAAAATAATTATGGACCACCATTGGTGAAAACCGAAACTGATGTAAATCACTTTTGACAAAAATTCTATGAGCTTTTACTAGAAATTAACAAGTATAATTAAGAATAAGGAAAACTGCAGACACGGCTAAATTCAAACTGATACAAATCTAATTTTTAGCAAATTTGAGTAAATACAATCTTTTTGTTAACTGACAATGACAAATGTAGAAGAAAATGAAGGAATAGAAAAAGAAAAGAAATAAGGAACAAGGTCACTAAAACAGCAAGCCTCACACCAATAAAAGGCGATAATCTCTACCCAAATTCTCAAGGCCTCGTTTGAGATGGCTTAATTTCACCTTTTCAATTTCGAAATGGCAGAAATGTTTTTTTTGCTGTTGTATGTACGTGTCATTTTTGCATAAATGCTTTTTAGAGAATTGTATTTTTGTATTATTTTCAAAAACTTTCTGATATTAATTTCGCAGTTAGAAACTCCGTTCTCTCAAACAACAATTTTAAAACTATCCTAACCAAACGAAGCCTAAATCCTTACACTTCATCAAGGATCAAAATCCCAGAAAAGATGAGGGAAAAGAGTTTTCAAGTTTGCAAAAAGAATTACTTTTATTCGTGTCATAACTAAATCATATGACTCAAAATTTCTCTACATATGAATGAAAAAAAATAATAATAGTAACAATCTACTAACAAGTTGTTAATAAATTAATAACAAATTACTAATAAATTGCTAAAGTTCAGGTTCAGTTAAGTTCTAAGTAATTGAGAGGCACATCGGAAAGTCAAAACAATTGTATTACCCCATAAAAGCAAGTATGATCCAGTCAATACTCACAGTGAAGAATGGGGAAAAGTAAGGACTGAATCATTTCATATTTTGTATACAATAAGGCCATTGAAAAATGCAAAAAGAAAAGAAAAAAAATAAACAGAATAATATGGATGGCTATTAAACACCACAAGAATAAAAGAAATAATAACTTATGAGCACATTGAAATTGTCCGGCAGAACTTATTAAGAAACTTGGACAAAGACCGCAGAGCAACCAACCCTTCTGCTCGTACAAGAATTCAGAAGGTTAGCGTGAAAAAAAACTTTTCTGCTAGTACGACATACCACAACAAAAGAATATGATCCCAGCTATGACTCAAATAACCCGCTTACCCTCAAATTAGTTTGAAGAGACATGTTTGCATTAGCTATATACCAATTATTTATATTTAAAAATGGAAAAGAAAGCTTTAACTCTGTTACTTTCATTGTGTTAGGAAAATATGTGATTGAAAGTGCTATTATAGGAAAGCAATAGAATATATATTATATACTCATACTTGAAGATTTTCTCCTCTTTATTATGTTTCTTCTGCACTCATCTTTAATGCTTATTTATAAGCAAGTATTCAATATATAAGATATGAATTTTCTCCTCAAATATAGAATCAGATGGCTATTAGCGTAGCCCACTCCCTTCCACCTTTTCTCCAGATCAATCCTCTGCTCATTAGCCACCCTTGCTATGTCCGCTTACCTCTCTCCAAGTAGGCGCACTTGATTCATTGGGCTTACACACTTGCTACTTACCTACATTATGCTCAACTACATTTGCTGCTCACTCGCACGATCACCATCGATGTTGCGCTCAAATCCGCTAGCTCTCACTCATAAGGTTTGACAACTTTATGACTCGCATAACTTGTATGACCTAAGTTAATTTCTCGGTTTCTCCTCTCTCCTCGTATCGTGCCATAGCTTCTCACTAAAATATTAATGAATTGATTAATTGAAACCTCCGTCCAAATTCAATGGTACAAATAATCTCATCTAGTTGAGGATATTTTGTTTCTTGATGCCTCCCCTTCAAATATCTAATCCAGACTCAAAACTTCTCGATACTGTTTCATCCCTTGTACATTGTTTTCCAAGATCTCTGTACAAGAAAAATGCTTAGGGGAAATATTGAACTTGGTATATGTATTATCCTAATGTTGTTGATCACATTGCCTTATCATTCATTTCCCCTTATGAGTTGCATTGTCATCTAAGTCACCTTCCTCATCATATTTGGAGCTTCATCCATGTATCTTCCTATATTTTAAAATTGGAAAACATCAATGAGCGTCAT